CTTGTTATTGGCTCTGCTTGCATCGAGTTGCATCTGCTGAAGCTGAGCAATTAACTCAACAGAACCTAAGTGAGCAAACGGATGAATGAATAGAGGATAAATAACACCATGCCTGTGATTTAAAGAGGACAAAAAGAGAACAATACTTCATTATAAATACTTTTTCTCCAGGTTTCTATGAGTTATTAATAAGTTCCTTTGATATATAGAGGAGCTTTATAGAAAAGGAAGTAAAAAGGAATTCTTAACAGTCAACTGAGATTTCTATGTTAGGTGGGAAGAAAACGAAAAACTTTTCAACGTCCTGATTTGAAGTAGTTCAGCTGGGTTTTCACGTAAATTGGGGTCAAAATGGCAATATGACTCATCCAGATCAGAAATTTAGAGAAACGAAATTTTGTTACTCACGACTAGCGTTTGAACACAGCTCAGGTGTTCATGTCAGCACGTCTCACTTGTCCTAAACATCATTGAGAGGCAGTCTCTCAAAGAGCGGTAAAATGCATTCCGGTTCAGAATATCGTTTTCTTTCAAAATGTTCCTATGAATCTATCCTAGTCTAAAATAAATAAAACCACTCTGGTTTTTCAAAATATTGTAAAACGATTTTTCCAATTGAAAATCACTTCAAAGGCCCGTTTTTGACCGCGCCAGTCATCAAAAATGGCACAAATTGAGTTACTCGTCTTCTCACAAAACTCTTCCTTATAGTGCTACTGCGACCAAAAATGCACCTTCTTTTTCTCCTCAGAGGTTGAAAGTACTTACCTTAAGTAACAAATTTGCCAAATCTTAAGACAAAACTCCATAGAGAAGTAATATTATTTTCCCTGTAGATTCGCGATCTAAACGGCCGCCATTATTCGAACTACAGAACTCCGCGCGAAGAAGAAGAAACTGGGTCGAGAGCGGAAGTGACGACTCAGCTAACGTGGCTAATTTGGTAAGCCGAGAGAGAGTTGTTTTTCTCGTTCCGCAGGAAAGAAGGAATAAAATTCGAAAGAATTGTCCCCAGCTTTCTTTTGCGTATTTCTTGTAAAGGCCTGCCTTCGCGACGTTGTCGAAGTGAGTTGATGAGGTCAGAACTAAAACTGCTCTATTTATTTTCGTGGGCTCTCCAGTGTGTCATTCGAGCAATAGCGGAAGAATTTTTAATGTCTTCGCGACGCTGTCTTTAAGGAGTAACGGTGTCAAATTTGAGAAACTTACGCTTATTCTTATAGTTTATGGTCTAAATGTGAAGTTAACACCAGAAAATTGGGAAAATAAAATGCAAAAGTTCTGTCGCAGTAGCACTTTAAGGAATTTTCTTACTTCGCATTTTTAGATCGATCCTTTTGTGAGAAACATGTTTCTGAACTAGCATCATTCCGCTTACATTTGGTTCGCGGTTCGGTTGAAGACATATTTAAACAAAGATCTCTCATATAATACCACAGTTCAACATATATGAACTTCATATATTCATTCTATCTCATTTATCACTTTCACGGGTTTATTACGAGTCAACCTAACGGCCTGCTCCCAGTTGGCTTGTTAGCTCAATTGGTAGAGCGCTGCACTAGTATCGCAGAGGTCAGTGGTTCGAGTCCCGTACAGGCATGATCTTTTTTTTTTTCAGTTCTAATTTTCGCTATTGCATAATAGCGCTATCTACTGCGAGGATCGTGCATCATACGTAAATATCTCTCACTTAAAGTAATCACAGCTTCCTTTTCAACGAAATGGGAATAGAGTAACCCCGAGATACGCTCAGTAAACAATCGTTATCAGCAGGTGTTAACTATTCTTCCAAGTTATATCGCTACTGTGAGAGCGATGTAACAATTTAAGGACCGTAATCCTCTGCTGTGATACAGCAAAATGGAGGGTAAGTGGATATTTTGTTCAAAAAGCTGTAGTTTGTATGTGAAATGCCAAACAACGGAGTTTGCGTGTGGACGTGTACATTTTCGACTAACTGACGGCACTATCAAACCAGTGCATTTTATCCAACTTTGAATTTAATAAAATAATTTGGATATATCAACACAGTTGAAATGGTAAATTGGCCACCGTAATGATTACAAAAGCTGACGTTTCGAGCGTTAGCCCTTCGTCAGAGCGAATATCGGGACCTAAA